TGCTGACAACTCGCATATAGTACATAATTCATATCGAAACACAATTTATATTTACCCACAATGCAAATTTCAAGCATTTAAACACCTTTAAATCAGCAAGTTTTCAAGATCACACATGAATTCAGTCAGGGCTGTCGCAGTGAAGGAATTTCCCTTGCGGTAATTTTGAGTGGCTAAATAGCGCGGTATGCGGTATTATCGCCATATATGTAAGAGCTTGATTAGCTGGTTCAGGTGTGTTTAATTGGGGTTGGAGCTAAACTCTGCAGGACACCGGCCCTCCAGGACCGAGTTTGGGCACCCCTGCTTTAAACCGTTCATTCAACTACACGTTCAAAAACGCTGATTCATTCAAAGAGAGACAAAATGAAAACGCTGATGAAATCATTTTAACTTTGAGCGCCACGTTAGAAGGCTCAGCTGACCAATGCGTCGATGCTAAGACAGAGATTTGGCTTTCCTTGGACATGACTACCCATTTTCACAAATATATATGACTCGCAAATAATCGCACATGCTCAGTTGATCTCGCTCTCATTCGTTGTTCTGTTTAGGCTTGTTAAGTGCAAATCTATGGAGTCTCAGTACAAATCAGCATGGTACACATTATGTTATCATTACTAACTTATTTAATATTCAGTACACATGCACGAAGTACAAATCAGCATGGTACACATTATGTTATCATTACTAACTTATTTAATATTCAGTACACAGTGTAAAACGAGAAGGGCAAAACCCTATGAAAAAAGAAAACACGCAAAAATCGCGGTTGCTGCGGTTCTTGCATTCCTCTGCGGTTTGCTCGTCAATAGCACGCGCGGTATTGCGATATTGCGGTTATCGCGACAGCCCTAACTGGAACTGTATGCAAATTCAAAATATTGATTTTGGAGAGAAAAACAATCTGCATGGTCATGCTGTTTATAAAATTCCTATTAAAATATCTACATACAAATCTAGGAAACTGTAATTAAAGGTGAAATGTATAAATGTATAGAACTGTAATCTGTTTTTTTGAGTGGCCCGACTGGGCCAGATGTAATGAGACTGGCTCAACCAATGGAGAGAGTTTAGGGTGGGGCTTCAGTATCTGTTTGCTGAACAATGGAAGATGTGTGAAGTCTCTGAAACAGTCATTTTTTTGCAGTTCTGTTTGGTGTCAGTAGTGGTGCAGAATTTACTTAATTCAGCTCTTAAACTACAACATGAATACCAATTATTATTAGTGAGTTGTAACAGTAACATGCAACATTCTTGTTTGAAAATTGCTCCACTTCACATACTATAATATGGATTATAAGGGATTAGCAAACATGGGAGGGAAGGAGCTGTCCTGAACCTATTTTTCTGGAGGTTTCTCTGTGTATGAAATATTTACAACAGGAATGACAGCAGAGAATACATCTCCAAACAGCGATTTAAGCTTTCTGCGGAGGCGTCAATCCACATACACCTCCTTATAATGTGACAGACAAATGCAGAAGGTCTGGGACATTTTATTTTACAGTTAAGCTTTCAGCAATGCAGCTGTTTGAGAGGGTACAGCAAGACTGTAGCTTAGGAACACTTCAGTTTGTACCTGGACTGGTATGTTAACCATTGCACCCATTAATGGCACCTGAGATTGATTCTGAAAAGGGAAAAATGGGCAATAAGGCAAGAGGAGCATATGAAAGCTTGTGTTCGTATTTAAGGCTTCTTTTGTGCAGTCATTACCATCATATGGCTAATGCTGGCAATTGAAGTTTGAGAGTTCACAAAAGATCCATTTAGAGCAGATTATCGACCATTAGTGCTATACACATGCTGACTTTCACTGACACTATAGGCAAATTCAATAGACTTGTTTCAGTTAATGGGGTAAAATAAGTTTAAAGCCAATTATATAAGTTTATTTTCTATTTCAGGGAGACAGAATTAGCTAACATACAATACACAACATGTACCTCCTTAAAACTGACAAAAGAAAGGGTAGAAGGAGCTCCACTAACCTGAGTGCTTGCGTTGGGCTCAGGATCAGGCACGTAGGGATAATGAATGTAAAACATGTCATTCCGAACCATCTTCTTCCTCATTCTACAGGGTCCCTCGGTCATGTCCAACTGAAACTTGTCCAGGTGGGAGCCAATAGGAGGCCCCCAGAGGCCCCTTTCCCGAAGCAGCTCATATTCAATCCCTGCCCACTCATCCATCACATACTTCAGCGCATTCTGCTGTCTCTGTGAGAAAACAAATGCATATTTGCATCAAAATAATTTTTTGTAGAAGTCATTCCACTATGATCAGAACTGGGAAAACATTTATTTAGCGATCCCTCCATTTAAAACATTTCAGCAATTATTATTATTCTGAAAGATCTATTTGAATTTTGCATATGTTTGAAATTGAAGGGTTACCTCTTGATGCTCCTTGTACTGCATTGCTACCAAGTCCCGGACCACAGCAATGTGCGTGAACATCCACTGAAAGGTTTCCTGTGGACATTCAAAACAATGTGAGGGCTAACTGCCTGTGCAAGTCCATAAGGTTAGCTGTGAAACCATTTCCATGTCTGCGTCAGTTCTTTTGTCAGTTACCTGTGCAGAAAGATTGTTCTTGTTCATTCCACTTTCCTTTTTGCTGCGACGGGAGCCGGTCAGTTTGGACAGACCAAAGTTACTGCTGACTCGAGACAGTTTGGACTGATTCGCTGGGGCAACGGTCTCGCCCCTGCTGATGCATTTCTTCTCATGGACTAGAAGGAAAACAGAGAAGGTTTAACACAGTAAGAGAAATGAGAGTATGGGGAAAACAGCAAAAATCTTTAACAAGAAAAAAATAAGCAGAGTGACAAAGACAGTCACAGGAAAGCTGCAAAAATTCAACTACATCCATCACATACTTCAGTGCATTCTGCTGCCTCTGTGAGAAAAACAAATGCATACTTGTATCAAAAAAATCATTTTTTGTAGAAGTCATACCACTACAATCAGAACTGGGAAAACATTTATTTAGTGACCCCTCCATTTAAAGCATTTCTCAAATTATTATTGTTCTGAAAGATCTATTTGACTTTTGTATATGCTTGAAATTGAAAGGTTACTACCTCTTGATGTTCCTTGTACTGCATTGCTACCAAGTCTCGGACCACAGCAATGTGCGTGAACATCCACTGAAAGGTTTCCTGTGGACATTCAAAACAATGTGAGGGCTAACTGCCTGTGCAAGTCCATAAGGTTAGCTGTGAAACCATTTCCATGTCTGCGTCAGTTCTTTTGTCAGTTACCTGTGCAGAAAGATTGTTCTTGTTCATTCCACTTTCCTTTTTGCTGCGACGGGAGCCGGTCAGTTTGGACAGACCAAAGTTACTGCTGACTCGAGACAGTTTGGACTGATTCGCTGGGGCAACGGTCTCGCCCCTGCTGATGCATTTCTTCTCATGGACTAGAAGGAAAACAGAGAAGGTTTAACACAGTAAGAGAAATGAGAGTATGGGGAAAACAGCAAAAATCTTTAACAAGAAAAAAATAAGCAGAGTGACAAAGACAGTCACAGGAAAGCTGCAAAAATTCAACTATGTGGGAGAATCTGAATGTGATGGAGTAATAAAGTGAAAATTTGAGTGTGTCTGACTAGATGTTTTCCTCACCCAGGTGGTTCTGCCAGCTTTTAGCAGCAGGTTCCTCTAAGGCAGGTCGAGCAGTGGCAATGTCCACATGTCCTCGGTCATTGACGGGTAGAGACACTTTAAAAATGTCCTCCAGCATTTGCCGCTTACTGTGCATGAGTTCCGTCCACACGCGATTCACCGCCTTGAGCAGTAATTGACGACCTGACAAACACACACACACACCAAACAAAAAGGACAGAGTGTTTGATATCAATAATGGTTTTTATGAGGGTTTGTGAAGTGCTTGAAGTATTAAAACTCTATGCTTTAATAAACCACACACTTTGTTTCCAAAAATGCCATTAAAAGAGAAAAAGAACAACCTTCGCTAACATCCTGGCTCTGGACATTGTCCGATTCGTTCTCAGAAGGAACCGCAACATGCCAGGTGGTCATTCTGGCCTCTGCCTCCAAACCAAAGCCCTCCACACTACTGTAAGAGAACATGAAAATGATGTTGGCACAGCGATACAGCACACGATTCTCATACATTTGAAGACACAAAGGCCTTTTGGCCAGTGCTTTATCAGTGCTGCATCATGTGAACATTCCCCAGTCAGTCAATAATATAAGTTTGAATGCTAGAACACAAACAGCAAGAATAATGAACTATGATTTCAGCACATCAGATGCTCCAAATCAAATCAGTTGAAGTTATTGATCTTCCTGCATCAGCAGAGCAGAGACTCAGAGTAGCAGCACTACACATGAATGTAATTCTGCTCACTGTCTCTGAGCTGCTCTCATTTCTCAGTCTCTCTGAAGCCAAACTTCTGAGTCAGCCTGGATACAGAGCCATGACAACGTAAACCTCCCCCTCAAGCCTCTCACAGTGACTCACAACAGCAGAGGCGCACAATCACAAACAATCCTAAGAATAGGAATTATTCATTTTTCACTGCTCATACATAATCCCATAAACCCATCCATCTTTCCATCTAAATTTTTGTATTTATTTTTATTTTTTTACTGCTCATATATAGTCTATGCATCTTATCTAAATTTACTTATTTCATAACTATCCATGTAAATTTATTGCACACTTCAAATATGTCTACCTATCTATCTAAATGTATTTATGTATTTACCTATTTATTAATTTCACACCTCACATGTAATGTCTACCTACTTACCTTTAATCTATTTTTTTTTTTTTTAACCAGCCTCTTTGAATCAGAGTCTCTGCATGTCAAATGGAAAAAAGACTTACCTATCCATACCTCTAACATAATACTTCTGCAATAAAACCAAACATCTATAAGCTCTAAATTAAAATAAACCCTTGAATTAATGTAAAGTGCCTGAAAACATTACACGGCCTCTGTGTCTCTCTCACCTCCCCGTGTGCAGGTTGATCAAGCAGTGGGCCAGACAAGCCACAAACTCCTGGTCATGGTTGCCGGGTCCCAGTACGAGGTTTCGGTTTACTGTCAGCACACGCAGTGAATCCAGCAGGGTGACCTGTTGCGGGACCGTTTTGTGTGGTCGTGAGAGCTGGTAGAGGATTGTTCGGTTCAGACAATGGTAGATTGAGTCCAGAGACAAACCCTGTGATCGCCGTTTGGACTATTGTAGGACCAAAAAAAGAAAAAAAAAAAAGAAAAAGAAAAGGAGATTTGTTGAGAAACCACCAGTCACGTAAGTCACATAGGAATGCTACATAAGTCATAAGAAATAAGAAAGGGAGAGAGAAAGAATTGTACATCTAACAGAAAGTTGTAATATAATAAAAGGATAATATTATGTTTAATAATTCAAGTTATGACTTTACATCACATTGTGGGTCCTTGTGGTCTTTTTAAATGGTTGGTAGCTAATACATTTTTGCAATATTTAGTGAAACACTTACTGTGAAATTTTTGAAATGTTTGTTCCGTTCTCATCTTAAAAACATAACTGTGGTTGCTGTGATTGCTTATTATCATTTGCTTTTAATTGCATTTTAATTTTTAACATTCTGTTTGCTTACATTTCCACTACTATTCAAAAGCTTGGGGTAAGTATTTTTAATGTTCTTGAAAGAAGTCTCTTATGCTTACCAAGGCTGCATTTATTTGATCAAAAATATAGCAAAAACAGTAAAACTGTGAAATATTATTACAATTTCAAATAATAGATTTTGTCATTTAAATGTAATTTATTCCTGTGATGGTAAAGCTGAATTTTCTGCAGTCATTACTTCAGTCGTCAGTGTCACATGATCCTTCAAAAATCATTCTAATATACTGATTTGGTGCTGAAACATTTTTATTATTATAAATGTTGAACAGTTGCGCTGCTTTTTGTGGAAACTCTAAAACAGTTTTTAGGGTTCTTTGATGAACAGAAAGTTTTAAATAATTTATTTGAAATATAAATATTTTGTAACATTATAAATATCTTTATAGTCACTTTAGATCAATTTAATGTATGTAAATGTATATAACAGTAGCATAAATTTAAGACATCCACTAAAAGTACTAATTTGTAAGCAATGTTCATAATTAAAATGGCAAAGTAGACAATATATGGCAAAACAATTATATAAAATACTTGAAAAAAGTCACACACTCCACCAAAAATCATATGCGAGATGAAAGTTTACTGAGAAGAACAAGGCAAATGTTTTCGCCCCATATAGACCATTTTCAATGCCAAGCTAACAAATAATTATATAGCAAGACAATTTCCTTAGTCTTTAGGGACACTATGACATTGTGTAAAATTGGAGGTTAAGTGAGGAACCTCCGGTGTGCGATCACAGGATAGAGCTCACCTGGGTGATCAGCTGAACTATGAATTCCACCACAAGCTTGGACTCTTTGTTGAACATGCCCTGCCACAGCTTATCCACCACACGCTGGGTGAAGTAGAAAACATTGCTGACCAGGATCTGGTAGCTTCCTCCTGTCGTTATTGGCAATGATGCCTCCTCACCTGTTGGAGGACAGAGACACACACATGAAAGATTTGCAATTTTTAGCTGATATTGTGTGAGTTTAAATATTTTGTTGGATGAACAATGAACTTTAAGGGACATCAGAAACACTGAGAACCACTAAAATATGGTCAGTCAAGACATGTCTCAGCATGCCATGACAGTTTTTACATATATTGTGACTCTACATTGACATCAAAAACCA